CACTGGTGCCTGAGCCGTGGGCTGCAGCGGGCAGCAAGCCCGTGCGCCAGAGAGCTCTCACCTTGCCTTTGGACCCTCTGATAAGAGCCCTCAGCCTGTTCCTGCGCTGCTGGAGGCCTATCAACCGTTTGCAATCTTGAACTCTGCGCAATCGGGCCCCTGCCAGCTCGTGGCCAAGGTTGCGAAGGTGAGAGTGGCACTTCAGCTTGAGGAGAGCTGCCATCTTGCCAACTGCCTTAGGTGCCTTGGCCGACGAGGTGATGCAGCCACTCTTGCTGGCCTAGATGACCAATCCAAAATCGAAAACCTGATGTGTGAACCAGCGCACCGCTCCAAACAACTGCTGCGAACGCTCTGGTTGAGGCCCCGTCCACTGGAAGCTAACGTCGTCCATGAGCGCCCTGGGGATGACTTCCACGAGCAATTTCCGAACCTGCTGCAGAACTTGTCCCAGTAGCAGATGCATCATGGCACAGGCGTGAGAACAGCCCGCCAAGATACCCTGGTATAACGTGTACTCCTGCGAAACCGACCCGTAGGCTTTGATGAGCCTAGGTGCTTGGTGCGTACTGAGCAGCATCCAAATCAAGCGGAAAGGAAAGTGCTGCTGTCGGGCGTGCTTGAGAAGGTACTCAAGCTTGATAGTCTCGAAGTACTGATACATGTCTATCAGCACACTAACCGACGCATGGCCTCGAAGTCGGGCCAGCTCAGAATCTAAATTGTGTTGAAACGGCGCGCCAACCGATGTCGCTCCTGGACGGGGCCCCCAGAAGGCGTCACACGGGCGGTGGAGTTCCCATCTCTTGGACAGTGGTCGCCTCAGCCGACTCCATGTACGGGCCAATGTATTGATGAGAGCAACCAATCGATGTCTACCATCTGGTTTTGCAAGTCGAACCAGTCGGGTCTGGAGCCTGCTGTCGGGCCAGCAGCACATGTCCTCGCACTTCATCTGGGGCGTCGCCACCATATGTAGACCTGTGTCTGAGACCACGTCGAGCGACATCGGCTGCATATTGATTTGCCCGAGCGCCGTGTGCAACTTGAACTTACGGATGACCCTCCTCACTTGGTCGCCCGTGATCGGCGGGAGCTTGTCCCACTGCTGCCAGTCGTCAGGCCGTTGTAGCTGCTGGCACCCGTGAAGTGCCCAGATGGTAGACCACTGATCAAGGCATGCGTCTGCCATCCGGTAAGGCTGGCCCGCATCGTCGGTGAAGTCGATGATTTCCTGCATGGCTTCCACCTTTGAATAACGACGCGCCAGCTTAGCTCCTGCGAGGAAGGCCAGCCGGGCCCAGTCGGACCAGTCACTAGAGGCAAAAGCACTGGTAGCATGAATAACCTTCTCCACTTTGGCCAAAATCCGCTCAGCCCTGTCGAGGAAGTCCGTGGCATAGAAAGTCGTGGCCACATCAGCAATCTCCAGCTGGTCCTCGGAATACAGCAATTCGCACACCCATCTAGCCTTGGCCACTCGACCGAAGAAACCCTGCATGTCCCAAGCAAGTTTGGCCAGGAGGCGACGTTCCTTGCTAGCGTCAGATGCGCCCCCCCCCCCCCCCCCCCCCCAGGCACCACGATTGCCAAAGAGATCTGGCAAGAGGCGTGCTGGGTAAACTCCTGGGCCCTCTGCGCTTTGCACGACGCGCTCGACACAAGTGAGCACCCGAGTGTATCGCGATCTCATGTGGCGAAACCACCTGCCGAGCGTCTTATAAGCTTGTAGTCGCTTGGGGACGGGTGGCTGCAGAGGCTCGACTCGCTTCCAAACCCAATCTGCAGGACCAGCACGCCATTGGCATCGGGCACAATGGCATGTCGACCCAGAAGTTCATGCTCCAGCCCACAGAGCATCGCATCCCAGGCAACTGAGAAGGACTGGTCACAATCACGGTTCGCAATGAGATGCTCTGCCCTGGCCCACCTGGCCACGGGCGGGAAGCGCGCACATCCTGGCAATGGAATCGTACTGACCTGCATTGGTTCCACTGGCACTCGTGCCCACATGTGGTGCTCGGCGACTTCCAATGCCAGCTTGACTGGCAAGCGAGGGTACGTCGCGGCATCCTCCAGTACCTGAACACCTCGGGCATTAAGAGCAAGCCCACTGGAAAGACAGACATAGTCGAGGGTTGCGCCTGGCTTTGCGCTCATACAGGTGGGCTCCGCTTGCACCTTGGCGAACCCAAAGACAGAGTTGAAGTACTCGGTGAGCAGCTCAGGCGCCATGTTCCAATCTCAAGCAATAACCCAATGGCGCTGCTGCACGTTCAGCATGCTGATATACTTGGCTAACGTCGAGAGCACCTCCAGGTTGTCATCATGCAACCCAATTGAATCGATCAAATATACTGATATGAGAACGACACCCTTCTCAGGGCCCCAGTGGAGATGCGAAACCCAGACACGACCTGGAACGAACCAACCCGGGCCCTTCTAAGCCTGGTCCAAGACTGACACGAATGCGCTTGGGCGCTAGGACCGCTAGGCCCCCGCACGCGCCCCCTCTGCCAGTGTCTGGCGCCGTAGCCCAAAGCCCAGCGAAACCCAGGCGAGTAGCAGCCGCTTGTACATCTGGCAGGTGCTCTCGGTCAGCGTGATGTTCCTGCACCAACACTATGGAGTTGCTGCAGCTGGGCATGCTGAGAACATCAGTCAGCACCCCATGTGACGAAATATGAGCTGTGATAACACTGCACACTGGAACTGCACCTGCTCCTGTAGCAGCACCTGCAAGCATGGCCCAGAGTGGGCCGCCTGCAACACGACCATGAAGGCGTTGAACACCTCCACGCCGAAGGCCAAGTGATGTCCGACCTCCTGCATCCTGGCGACATGTTTCTTCTTAGCCGCATCGAGCGCAACGCGGGGAGGAGGAGACTTGGCAGGCCTGCGCACCACATTCGTAGGTTGCCACTGCTCAATCCACTGCGGTTGCTGGCCCACCACTGCATACATGCTGCCATGGCCATCGCCGCCCGCGAAGTCCAGGATCCCTTCTCCGCTCGCGCGGCGCCCTCCCTGCCGACCCTGCGCGAAGGCGCATGGCCACCAGGGCCGAGAACATTAGGGCATAGCCACCAACACGTATCAGGGGATGGGGGGCACGCGAGTGTGAGCAAGGGCAGTAACTGAACCCACCCACAAGACAAAAGCCTGGGGGTCGTAGCCGACGAAGTACCCAATCCCTTCTCTGCTCGCCTGGCGCCCGCCCTGCCAAACCCGCGCGAAGGCGCATGGCCACGAGGGCCAAGAACATTAAGGCATAGCCACCAACACATATCAGGGGATGGGCTGGACGTGAGTGAGTGCGTGGGCAGTAACTGAAACCTCTGCTCGCCTGGTGCCAGCCCTGCCAAACCCACGTGAAGGCGCATGGCCACGAGGGCCGAGAACATTAAGGCACAGCCACCAACACGTATGTGGGGATGGGCGACGGACGGGTGAGTGCAAGGGCAGTATCTGAAACCACCAGCAGGTCATGATGCCGAGGCCCAACCACGCCAGAAAACCGAGCATGCTTACAGCAGGCTCACGCTGCCACTTTGCGCCTCTTGGCATAGTCGCTGGCCGCCTCAGCCACCCGCTTGACTCTCTCACGGACCTCGGCCTCCTCTGCTGGCGGCTCAATCCCGACTGCGGTGAGGCACGAGCGCAGTTCCTCAATGTCGTCGGTGTTCATGGGGGCTGCAGCTGCTGCATCTTGCTGCTGCTCCTGTCGTTCAGCCTCAGATGCCTGCCCAGGCTGCTGACCAGGGGGCGGCGTCTCCAAGGACGAGGACGCGGCGGCGGCTTGCGCAGTCGCCTTGGCCTGCTGCTCACGTAGCGCCTCGAAGCACGAGCTGACCGAGGCGGCGAGGGTAGCGTCCGCCCCCAGCTCGCGCAGCATCTCCCCAAACCTGCCAACTGGGAGCTCCAGAGCGGGCGCCATGGTCTTGAGCGAGAAACTGCCTGCTGCAACCGTGGGCGCTTTGAGCGCCACTTGTACCCGCTGGGCCTCGAGGTCGATGATATCTTGCTCCAGCTTGGCGAGCTCCGCAGCGGTCTCGCCAATGAGCAGCTCCAGCTTCTCCTTGTCTGCCTGCTGGCTGGCCAGCTTGTCTTTCAACTCAGACTGCTGGCGCTTGCACTGGTCGGTGCGGGTCGTGAAGTGATGCACCTGCGACGATAAAGGCTTGTTGGCAACAGTGCGACCTTTGAGTTCATCACGTTCACGTACGAGCTCGTCACGGGCCCGCACCACGGCAGCGTCCTCGAGGGAGCCGAAGGCTTTGAGGGTGGTCGCGATATCGCCCAGCCTCCTCTGCTCCAGGTTGGTTGGCTCCGACACCAGCGGCTCCTGTCTGGCTGCGGTGCCCGGACCCGCTGCCTGGAGCTGGGCCTTGAGACGTATGATCTCCAGGTCCTTGGCACGGAGCTCCTTCTTGGGATCGGTGTCCTTGGGCTTGGGCGGCGGCTGCTTGGCGCGCGTGCTGGGCAGCACGGGCGCCTTGTTGCCCCCGAAAGCGACTCCCTTGGTGCACGAACACATCGAACACGAGAACAATTCAGCCTTATTCCACCACTTCTCGCCTGTCTTGGGGTGTACGCACCATCGGCAGTGCCAAGCCTGTGCCCAGGCACGTCTGGCGGCAGCCGCAGAGCCATTGGAAGGCGGTCGTCCGCCATTGGCCATGTCACACCTGCGACAGGAGAGGTCAAACTTGATGCTGCGTGGCCGGGCGGCACGCGCAGCGGAGCGATGAAGAAGTTGAACAATGGCCGCGGACTAGCGGTATCCACTTGCTTCCGCTGGGAAACCAAAACCTTGAGCGAAAGTGGCTTGAGCCAAAATGGCTACGGTGAAGGAGGAGGAGGGGAGGAAGGGGGAGGAGAGGGGAGAGAAGAGGAGAAGGATAATGAGGACCAACAGCAACAGCGGGGCTTGAGGAGAGGGAAGCGGCTACACGAGGCCAGACCTCACCCTGGCCGTGGGTTCGGCTGGCCCCGAGCGCCCCGCAAACTCGAACATGCTCCGCTCGAACCGCCTGATCTCAGCCATGGCGTCCTCGGTGAACACACTGCCGCCCTCGTCCTCGCCCGCAGTCGCTTTCCCCACCGCGGGACGGAAGATCGAGGACCACGGCCGCCCACCCAGACCTCCGACGATCTACTTCGTTCAATCGCGGCGGTTTCCCTTAATGTCGGCATCCAGGGCTGTGTTCGGGCCCCGGGGCCACCAGAAATATATCTAGGGCACAAAGCTATCCCTGGAGAAGCGGTCGGGAGCTCTGGGGCCGCGGTCTGAAAAAAACGGACCAACAAACAAGCATCAACTAACAACAACGAAATTCGCTGACAGCGTGGACCAAAATCTGTATGAGATTCAACTGTTGAAGTGTAAGCTGTGCGGTGCATGCTTTGTGGTGAAAACTACATTGCGTAAGGTATCTTATGCGAGGTACGGAGGTGAACACTATGCTGTGTAATATACTTGGTGTCAGCTGTGTCGTGTAAGCCATGCAGTATGAACTGGAGGTGAGCGCTATGGGTGAAATTCATTCTTACTCTCCAAACAATGTTTGCACTCAGTGTTCCTACTCGATCTAGAAGGAATTGAGCCTCGGTGTCGCTCCGACCAGATTGTTGTCGCCGTCGCCGCCCGTCGCCGCCCGTCCGTCGCCGTTGCTTCTGCGCTTTGGTGTCGATCGCCGCGCTTGTCGCCGCCGCCGCCCGTCGCCGCCTGTTGCATTGCATTGCAATCGCATTGCGTTACAGTCGCGTTGCATCGCCTTGCATTCACATTGCATCGTAGTCGCATTGCTTCGCATTGCATTGCAACCGCGTTGCATCGCTTTGCATTGCTCTGCATTGCGTTGCATTGCGTTTCACTGCTTCGCCTCACATGGCATTGCTTTCCATTGCTTTGCATTGCTCTGCAGTGGTTTGCATTGTTTTGCATTGCTCTGCATTGTTTCGATCTGCCCTGCATTGAATTCCTTTTGCTTTCCATTGCTTCGCATTGCTCTACATTGCTCTGCGTTGCTTTGCATTGCTTTGCATTGGTTTGCATTGCTTTGCGTTGCTTTGCATTGCGTTCGCGACGCCAGATCTGAGAGCCCTCCTCCCTCTGGTCGGCCCGTATCAAAAGCAAACAAGTAATGCCAAAACACCATCATGGCAGCAGAGGTGAAAAGGTGGGCCGAGGAGCACGAGGTCGGCCAGCGAAAACGTGCAATACTGTGCATTCCTCGGGGTTCCACTGGGGGTGACAAGGGTGAGAGCACGACCATGTGCACCGTTGTGTATGTTTGAATCGGGATCGTGGCCGTATGGCAGCGGTGAGAGCACAGTCATGTTCACTGTAATGAATGTGTTTTGAAAAGGATGGTGGCCGTGTGACAGGGGTGCGCCTCCTCCTCCTCCTCATCATCATCATCCTCCTCCCCCCCCTGCTTCCTGTCTCCTACTCGTCCTCCTCCCTCCTGTTTCCTCCTCTTCCTCCATCCTGTCTCCAACTCCTCCTCCTCCTCCTCCTCCTCCTCCGCCTCCGCCTCTTCCTGCTCCTTGGGACCGTGGCCGTGTGGTGTGACACGTGTGAGACCACGGCCATGTGCAGCGCAGTGTGTCTTCAACCTGGGATCGTGGCCGCGTGGCAGGGGTCAAAGCACGGCCACGTGCACCGTGGTGTATCCTTTACAAGAAATCGTCGCCGTCCGGGCCAAACATACTGCGGCGAGAGCACCCTTCCTGAATATCGGCTACACGCACGAGCGACCCTGGGCAAGAGTGACATGTGGTGCGCGGACTAACAGGCGCAATGTGGCCAAATCCAAGCGCGCAAGCAGCCGCTATCGCATCGCGCTCGGCGATCGAAGGGACCTCAATGAGCCCGCACCAAAGAGCACTCCAGCGAAGGGTCACTCTTCCGTGTGGTCTAGAATAAGTTGTGAGGGAGTCTCAAGCGGAACGGCGATTCAGGAGCCAGGTTTCCAACCTCTCCGCGTCCCCCTTTGTTTCTGTTTGGTCATTTTGCCTCACGAGAACCCTCTAAGTTGAACGCCGCTCGGGAAAAAACATAACTCTGGGAGACCTATAACGGAGGCACGGCGACCCAAAATCCCCGATTTTGTGGGGTGTTCGACTGGACTGAAAGTTTGGGGCCGATGTACGATTGAGGAGGGGGGGACGTCCACTCTCGATAGTCGCGCGCACGAATAGCACCCTCGGGGGTATATCCCCGAGTTCCCCCTCTTGCCAGAGCTGCCTGATTTGGGGAGGAAGCTCGGGGAGTGTAGGGGAGAAACCCTGAGAATACGTCGCGGAAAAATTAAGACATTGTCAGAAATCACAGCCGGAGCCCTAGACCCCGTCTTTCTCTTGTTTTTCCCGAGCCGGATCGATCTGTGATGGTCCCTGGGTCCGAAACCTGGCGAAAGCACCTGGTGCAAAAAAAAAATGCGACGCCAGGATCTCAGGGAATCGCCTGCTAACCTGCGCAATTCACCGAAAATCCTTGGCCGTGTAATAGACATCCAGGGTCCAGTACTTCAGCGTCTGGGGCTGGTACAGCAGCCGCCTGGAGCTCTGCCCCAAGGACTCCTCCTGCTCGGCGACGGCTCCGGTCACGGCCTCCTTGGCCATGCGAAGGGGGGAAGGACACTGGTGGATAACACAGCCTTGAAGGCGGATGATGCCTGAATAAAGCGGAAGGCCAACCGCCAACGGCCAAAGCAAACTTGTAGTGACAAATCCCGACATTGATCTGAACACTAGCCAGACGTTGATTTCAAGAAGAACAGCGCGACGTAGCAATTCCTATCATGAGGAAGGGTCATCCAGCCGCTGCTGCTCTTTCTGCTCCCACCGCGCGAACCCTACTCCGATACCGTGCCTTGTGCACGCTGGGGCGTGTCAGAACCTGATCGGGCAAGAACGGAAACCGCCCATTGTGTCCATTGGGCTCGTAGCTTCGAGAAGAAGAGAAGGACGATGGCGAAGACAAGGCGGCGGATGACGAGGATGACAGCGTGGATGACGGGGAGGGCGGCGAGGAAAACGAGAAGACAGCGAGGAGGAAGAAAATGACAAGGACAAGGCGAAGAAGATGGAGGAGGACGAGCACGAGGAATGAAGCAGCGGAGGAGGACGACGAAGGAGGACAGCAAGGAGCACGAGAAAAGGAACGTCGAAGAAGGGGGTCCTCATGATCTTGGGCGTATAGGAATCCCACCAGCCCTTTGGGCTAAGGTGTTATGACGAGTTCTTTCTTTCCTCTCGAAGACCCGCTTCCCTTCGGGAAGGTTTACCTCCCACCCCTCCCTGGGCCTGGACGAGGGGGGATTTTGTGTTAGACCGCCCAAGATGGCCCAAGATGGCTACAAGAGGGCGTCCGATGCTTCAAGATGACCTCCAAAATGGCTCAAGATAGCCGACGATGGCTCAAGATGACTTCCGACATACCTCCAAGAGGCCCGACATATTTTTCGGAGCCCCCTCAGGCCTCCCCAAAAAGCCCAAATCCTTCAAATACCTTAGGAAAATCCGTGGTGGTTGCCGTCTCGCCTATTCGCTGCCGATGCACTTTTGAGGCCTTAAGATTGCCCCGATATGGCCCAAGAGAGCAGATGGGCCCAAGAGGCCCCAAGACGGCCCAAAGAGCGCCCAAGATCGCCCCAAGAGCGCCCCAAGGGGTGACTTCGAGGGGAACCAAACGTTACGACCCCCCCCCCTTGATCGATCTCCACGATCGCCCCAAGAGGCACTCCTGTGCCCCAAAAACACACACACACACAAGAGAGCCCCAGGAGCCCCAAGACCAACAAGAGAGCCCTGAGAGGACCCCAAAATCCCCCAAACGAGTCCCAAGAGGGCTCCGGGAGGCGATTTGAGGGCGCTGTCCTCGTCCTCGTTGTCCCCCTCATCCTCCCATCCTCCTCCTCCTCCTCATCCTCCTCCTCCTCTTCCTCCTCCTCTTCCTCCTCCTCCGCCTCCTCCGCCTCCTCGTCCTCGTCCTTGCCCTCATCGTCTTCCCTCCCTTTTACTCCTCTTCCTGGGCGTCGTGGT